TTAAATATAGTGACGGAGAAAAATTACAATTCCTTAAAACAATATTTACTTATTTACATTTAAAAGAGAACCTTTAAGTGGAGACCCTTAAGTTACATGACAAGGAAAGATGGTATCTGTCAAAGTCACATTTTTTTTTCTTCGCACTTGCCACAAAAGAAGATCTTTCGATATTTTCTTCCTTTTTCATCTTCCTTTTTTTTGCAAGAGGAAAAAAGGTCTCCAGAAGGAATGAAAAGAATTCTTTCGAAAAAATCATCTTACTTTTCTCCTTCTATCTGCTGTTTATTGAAAAGCCTATTTATCTGGTCCTTTCCTTGGTCCTTGTTGCTTCCGCATTAGTGTTTGTGTGCGTTTGTATGGTTGTGTATACATGTACGGATGTCCGTAGTGAAACGAACCGTATTGCGGATCTAGTAATAGTACTATAAATTCATTCATGGATGAAGAAACCGCTCGATCCTTTGTAACTTAGTTTATGAATGAACGTGTATTACAAATATATTTTTTCTTTAACTATACCCGATATCCGGTTCATTCATTCTGGTTCTTCATTCTTTCATAAAAAAAAAGGCAATCTCATTTTATTTAACTTTCTTTAATTCTCAATCGCAATGTATTATTATACTATTTTATATATTTTTTTAATCAAATTTATTTTTTAAATAAAAATATCTAAAGATATTGAATATAAAATATGTTGGAATATACAGTATTCTTATTTAATTAATCCATAACCCGTCACAATACGAAAATGCAAAAATTAAAATTAAATTAACTGTATAATGATATTCATACTAATCAAATAAAATTATTTTTGCAACTATTCTTTATTTAAATATAAAAATTTGTTTATATCATTAATTATTGATTTAAAATAAAATAGTTAGACGTTTCAATATTTTTATGAAGCACGAGGTACGATCTCATTATTTTAACGAATATATTTCATTCTGAAGTTGCAGTTATTAAAAAAAAAAAAATTTGAAAATGCTTCCCAAAAAATGACCATTGACGGCGGGTAATGGGTTAAAAAAAATTTTTTTGGCGTAACACAAAATTAAATTTATTTATAAACATTTCAATCGATAGTAGAAAGATTTTTGAATAAGGGATAATCATTATATTCGATTCGTTGTTAAATTTTATTGAAAATCCTAAAACCCCATTATTATTTTTATTATTTTATGAGTAAAAGGAACCCACTCGAACGAGTGCTTACTTCCTGTGTTGAAATAATATTTTATGGTGGTCGACTTTTGTAAGGTGGACACTTCAAAACGGAAAGAAGGTATAAGCTTTTGACATTTTCAGGGGTTCGTTTGGAAACGTGCCGACTTGAATGATGAGGGTTTGAACCATTTATGAAATCTATCTTCTCTATTGTGCATTAACATAACAATATTGCTACCTGTAATGTAATAATACCTGAAGATTTTTCAGATAGCCACTTATTTATTGTCGGTACGTGTTCACTCGAACATTGGATGAATTTTCGAGTGGTGGCTCACACTTTCTGTCTTTCAACTTTCTGACACACAATTTTTATTTATTCTTCCTCTTTCCTTTCTTTCGAGTGCTTAAACTTTTTCGTTCTCTTGAACTTTCGACACTAAACAAATTATAAAATACAATCCATACACCTTTTCAAATTATTTTTAACAACACAAGTAATTTTTAAATATAATAAAATTTATATACTCGAATCATAATGTGTTTATTACTTAAATTAATAACAAAACAAAAAATTAACCTTTCGAATTCTAATCTTATGAGGATATCTAAATATTTCTTATTACTTAAAACACGTTTCCTTTCTTTCTTTCTTTTTTTAAATTTTTCTACGACCATTTACGGGATGATAAAAAATTACTACAAAAAAAAATGCAACGTTATAAAGTGAGAGATTTTAAAATTAAAATTAAAAAAAGAAAAAAAAAATTAAAAAAGAAGAAAAAAAAAATAAAATAAGGAAAGAAATTAGGAGTCGCATCCTTGCCAGTAAAACAATGACGCGCAGACAAATTGGGTTGCGTGCACGAAACAAGTTGGCACAGCTATCGCCAAACAGTCGTGGGAGACTGGCAAATGTTCCTCGATTACTTGTGAACCTCCAAGTTCTTCATTTCTCTCTCTTTCTCTTGTTCTCTTTTGAATTCTTTACCAATGACTAACGGAGAGGAGGAACACGGCTCGACATTTTTCCAGGGTTAACGAAAGTAGTAGGAGGGTAAGAATTGGAGAAAGGAGAGCGTGAATATAATGAAAGAAAAGGAAAAGAAAGTACAAAAGAAAAAAAGAAACCAAAAAGGAAATAAAACAAAGCAAAAGTGGATCCTCCTAAACTCGATTCTAACCGAGTTAGACGGTCAACCACCATAATAACGAGCTTTATATCTTCTTTCGTGACTTTTAACTGTAACTATTCTTTTTTTCTCTTATTTTATTTCTTTTTTTCTTAATTCACCTATGTTCTACTTAATTTGTTTTTCCTTCGTACACAAAATATAATACAATATAATATATATATATATGGAGCATTTCACGTCAAATCGACCACTTTTGACCCGTACCCCTTTCGATTTTGCTGAAACATTTTTATTATTTTCAACTTCATTGAAAATATTTTTAAAAATGTTTTTCAAAAAATTCACACTCACACACACACTCATGCATTCTTTATCTTTTCTCTCATTCTCACATATATGTAATTATTATTATTAATATTATTATTATTTCACGCACAGAAATAACACACGTAGGGATGAAATAAAAAAAAATAGATAAAAGAAGAGATCTCAAAAACACATATGTAATAATATTTCTAAACAAAATTTTACAAAAACAATTTATTACGTAATATCCAAGTAAAGTTTAAACACAATGAATGCATTACTTTTGGTTCACCCTAATATAGGGTGATCGGATATTTTCGACAAGAACTGATGAATCACCTTGTATGTATTATGCATATATATATGTATTTTAATAAGAGGTTTTTTTTTTAAATTTTTACTCCTGTTATATATATATATGTATTGAGAAGAGAATGTTATGAGAGGGAAGGAAGAAAGGAAGGAAGGAAAAAAGAATGTTCAAATGTAAAACCCTTAGGAAGTATCTTGACTTTTCTAGAAATCTGACAAAGAATCTTATGAATAGAGCGGATATACGTTCCATCCTATCCTTTTTTCTTGACCTGTCCCTTTTTTCTCTATTTTACTTTTTAACTAAACGTTATTTTTCAAGATTCTATTTAACTTTACAATTTAACACGTGGGAATTCGTGCCACCATTTGCGCATATTTTCATTTCTTTTCATCTCTTTTCTTTTCTTCCTTTTTTTTCTTTATTCTTTTTATTCTTTATTATTCTTTTTATTCTTTTTATTATTATTATTATTATTATTATTATTATTATTATTATTATTATTATTATTATTTTCATTTTATTTCTCTATACTGACGTACGATCAAAATCTAACCGCAAATATCGACTTTGTTGTTAATGCTGTCACGCTATTAACCTACTTTTGTGATATCGATAGACCTCGATCTAATAAAACGACAGGTAAAATTAAATAAAAGAAGAAGAGAAAAGAACACACGGTAAAATAGAGAGAGAGAGAAATAATACGAAATGGGGGGGGAAGGAGAAAAAAAAACAGAAAAGGACGAGAAAAATGGGGAGGGAAAGGGCGAAAAAAAGAAGGTACGAAATGACACGGTAAAAGCACCACTAATGTTCTTCCGCATTAACACTCGAGCTAAAGTATACTTGTACGTGTAAAAAGATCTTTCTCTTTCTTCCTCTCTCTTTCCCTCTGATCGATGAAGCCACCCGATTGGTTAGCTAGTTCCCGAGCATTACGAAATCGAGGTCCTGAAAAGCATCGACCTACCCTTCCAGGGATGAGCCTTTCTATTGGCTACTACATTGCTCCACCCCTTTTTACCAAGTAACCCTGGTAACATCACTAGTACTATTACCCTAGAATTACACAACGCATACTCAATATTTCTTTTTCATATATATCTTTTTTTGTGTTTATTGTGTGTGTGTTTTTTTTCTATTGAATTATATCCAACATATTATCCTTACAATAATAAAAAATATGTAATAAAATAATTTGTAATTATTTTTATTTTTTTAAATTCTTTTATCTTAAGAATAAATTAAAAAACTACCCCTAAATATTTCGATATTTGATACGACGAAGATCTAAAATTTTAGATATTATTCCTAATAAATTTGTTGTTCTATTAAACGAAAAGAAAAAGAAAAGAAAAAAGGAGAGTAGAAAATTAAATTAAATTAAAAAAAATAGAGAAAGCAGTAGATAGGATAAATTTTGTAGACTTATGGGGTTGGTTTGGTGGGTGGAAGCAATGGATTCGTTTAGCCAAGGGGAGAAAAGGGGGATGAGTGTATGAAATCTCCGCCCCTTATAGAACCGCCCCTAGATTGGAGGGTGCTTCAGAGAACGAAACGGAACGGAGGTAGGGACGACACTAGTGGCTAAGTGTTCGTCGAGTACACTTCAAAACGAACAAGAATAGTCCTTCACCTTTTGCGAAAGAAGGACTAGAGAAACGACGAGAGCTACTTAAAAGTAGGCCGAAATATAATTCACGGATGAATACAATTTGCGAGCCGACTCGGATCGGGTTCAACGTTTGTTTCACTGTGTGTTTTTGAGATCTCTCCTTTTATCTATTTTTTTTTTTTTTTATTTCATTCCTACGTGTGTTATTTCTGTGCGTGAAATAATAATAATATTAATAACAATAATTAATCTCAGTGTTGATAATTTATTATTTATTATTTTTGATTTTTTTACTGTTCGTACGTTCGCTAAACGTTCACTTAATAAATCGTTTCAACGGTTTTTTGGTGATTTCATTTATATCGATTTGATAATTTGAAGAAGAAAAAGAAGAAAAAAATAAAAAAAAATCAAAATTTCTTTTTTTATAATAAAAATATGAATTGTGGAATTATCGTGCATCCATGTGTTGAGAGTTTCGAATAAGTTTATTGATTGAAAGTGTTCAAGATTTTTCATTTGTTCTCAAAGATACATTGGAAAAAAAGGATTTAGAACAAAAAACAAAAAAACAAAAAAAGAGTGATTCGTTCTAACGTGTTCGAATATTTGTAGAATATTAGTGGGAGAGATAAAAGTGTTTTAAAAGATTAACCCTCTCACAGAAGTCAGATTAAAAAAAACTTTAGGATACCTTCTTAATTTATTTGATCTACGTAAAGAAAAATAGAGAGACAAAAGTAAAAGAGGATTAAAGTTGGAATAAAGAATGGGAATTTTTTAAAGACACCAATATAAGCCCTTAAATCTAATTACTTACAAAATGGCGGAGAAGAATAAAATTCTACCCTGGTCATTATTTCCTTATCCAGCGAGTTTACTCAATCACGTTTGGTACAGTCAACTAGCGTTCAATACTAGGTAAATTAATTAAATATATAAAAAAAAAAAACATATTTTTCGCACGACTTTTTTTTGACTGTAAACCCCTTTTACATATCCTTATTTTTTTCTGTTTTTTATATTTTCTTTTTTTCTCTCTTTTTTTTCAACATTATTCAAAATTTTGTTCAAGACGCTTGCGTTTTCTTTTTTTTTTTTTTTTAAGTACGTTAAAATATAATCTTTACATAATCGATCAAATTTTTCGATAACCCGACGAATTGTTACACGTGTCTCACTGACCAATATTCTCATATCGTTTATTTTCTTTTTATCAAATCAAGTATCCGGTTTCGTTATCTATACCGTTTCTTTTCGATCATCACGACTTACTTAGAACCGATTAAAATCCGTGAATCGATAAAAAATTTTATTGTCTTATTTTAAGGAAAAATAAAAAAAAATAAAAAAAATAAAAAAAATAAAGTGATTTCTTCATTTTGTCAAGAATATTTCAAATAAAATTTCATTTTTTCGGTAATATACCTGGTTCCAATTTTTTTTATCATGTACCACATATATTTATTATATATAAATTATTATATATAATTAATAATATTATGTCTATAATTATATGTATATTATTTAATATTATTTAATTTATGTTTATATTATTTTATTATTAAAAAAATAAAAAATAAATATATTATATTTATAATTATTTATAAATATAATATTATTTATTAAATATTATTTATTTATTATTATTATATTTATAATATATGAATATATAAATAAATGAATAAAAATGAAACGTTCAAACGAGTGTATTCGGTAATTTACGTCAGAGATTTGAATGACCGAAGAAGAAAAGATCATTCATCCTCACCGAATCGATCGAAATGCATTCTTAAGCAAAATAATTTAAAAAAAGATAACTTACGATCGTGCTTCAATAATACCCAGTGAGGTTTAAGAAGGATTCGAGGAAGAAATATATTTTAAATGTAAAAGTATAGAATCAACTTTAATTTATGATTTTATATTGAATAGAATAGAATTTTTCTATTAATACCCCAATAACCGGTTGGTTTTCATTCTGATTTTACTGAATCATGGCGTAACCATTTAATTTGGAAAATTTAAATTATGCATATCCAATTTGGAATGTCCTTGATCTTCCGCGGTATACTTTTTTTACTCTTTTTTTTTTTTTTTAGTATTTAAGTATCTACAAAAAAATAAAAGATAACGAAATTATCTTGAATTTGTGTGTTTCACGAGAAAAAAGATAATAAATAAATAAATAATTATTACAGATGTAATTAGCGTGATGAATATAGATCAATTATTTTTTTTTACATTTTGAAAATCGATTGATTGTTTTTAAAAATTATGTTTTTTTTTATCTAATTTTCTTTTTTTTTTGTTTTTTCTTTAATCTAAGGAAGTAATTGAATAATAAACAAATTATAATAATTCGTTTTAACTGTTAGATTTTGAAATAAGCAAATATATTTATATCAAGTTTTAAAATCTTCACGATTTAATCTTTATAATTTATTTAATTTATATATTTATAGTATTTAAATGTAATAAATAATCTTCTAATACCTAATTATTATAATAACTTATAATTATAATTTATAAATTTTTTTTTTAGAATATTAGAAAGTATGAAAATGCCGGCTAGAACTTCGGGTTTTCACATAAGTGACATATTAGAATTGAACGATGCTAAACCATCTTCAGAAGAGAACGATGTACAAGGTAATCAAACAAATCTTATCGACGATTATTTTAATATCTAATTTTAATGAAAAGATTAATACGATTTACAAAAAATGAAAAAATAAAGACAAAATTCAACGTTGCAGAAAAATCGTTGAATAATGAATAATAAAAAAAAATAAAAAGAAAATTACAAATAAATATTAAACAAATCTCGATTTAATTCTCGTACGATTTTTAATTAACAAAAATGTGAACCAAAAAAAAAATGTTTCCACAGGAAGTACAACGGTTCTACCGACGGCCAACGAAGTTCCATCGGCGTATCAACAATTTTTAGAACACACGACGGCCATGTTACAACCGATGCATGTGAATCTAAATAGAGGTAGTTTGCCACCACCACCTCCGGGATTGCTTAGCTGGCCAAGTGGACCAACGGCTTTACCAACTACACTACCACAGCCATTAGAAGAAGTAAACAGTAAGAAAGAGATCTGTGTGAAAGAAATATTTTTACGAGAATTAGATAGTTCAAAAAAAAAAAAGAAATAGAACATAGATTTCGATTCGTTTCGTAAGGATAGTTAACAGTGGTAAATCAGTCAGTAGTAAGTATCAGTCAGTTTTGTTACTTTGCCATAACCTTAGCTTGTACACGGTCCCTGTGTTGTTTTGTGTATTCCCTGATAGTTAAAGGAAAAAAAGAGAAAAAAAAAAGAAATAGGGGTTGTCGAATATTCACAGGCGGGACATGAAACCGTATTTATTTAGAAGCCTACAATTGGTCCGTTTGAGCTAAGCAGGATCTAATAGTCCTATAAAAGGTTCTTGTGGCTGCTGTATCACGATTGGTGAGCAGCAAACCAGGACAGATGTCTTTTGCCCTGAGGACAGATGCGTTCACTAGGTCCCTTCGATGAATCCAAATTGTCACGCCCAAATGTACTACTAACGTTGCCCCCCTATTGCTTTGCCCCTCCTGTCCTGAATTTCTCTTTCTATCTTTCTCTTACTTTTTGCTTAGATTTTATTTTTTCTTCTCTCTCTCTTTCTCTCTCTCAAACACACACACTCATGTTATATCTTTCTTCATTCGACATCTATCTATCTTCTTGTACTCTCTTTTCAAAAGGGGAATACAATTTTACCGTATCTTACACGACCCAAAAATTACACCGTTCAAGATATTATTAGGGATCCTTTTTTTTTTCAATAAACTCTCGATCGCATCGATCATCTTCCTACGAATGGGGATGAGGAGAAAGGAAAGAAAAAAAAGAATCAAAAGATAATAAAATACAAATTCGTTTCGATTAGAATGAAAAGGATTCGTTTTTTTTTCTTTCCTCCTTCCTTTTTACCCCTAATTGTCGTTCTTTTTTCGAGAAGTTATTAAAAATTAATCAGAACGATCTAATTCGATTCTAACGACGTTAAAAAAGAAAGATTGGGGGAAAAGAAGAAAAAAACAAAGTAAAAAAGTTTGAGAAAAATGTTTCTAATGACAAAACGTCCCTTAGGTTAGTGAGATATACTTTAATTGAAATTACAGTGAAGGTGGTATCAGAAGTAGAAGCTAATCTCCCATGAAAATGATATGGTTAATCCCATAGGGGATGTTTCGGAGTGTTTCGGCATCAAATAGGCTTTATATTAGTTCGCACCCTCTCCCTATAAGACCGAAGGGAAACTTACGACAAAAGCATATTGTACAATCGCGAAAGCCACGATACTTTGGTTTCGACATTGAATTAGTTAGTCTTATGGAGTGACCCTATCGTTTGCCTATCACCCTCCTCACGATGCAAAACCATAAAACAAATAGTAAGTATTCTCACACGAATAAGAATACACTCGATCCTTCCCTTTTTCCTATTTTTTTTTTTATTCTTAAATAGGAGATTCTTAAATAAAAGATGAAGAAAATCGAATCAGTTAAAAAGGAAAAGGATTAACTACGAGTCTCGTAAAACGAAACTGTTTTGAAGAAATAAAATAATAATAATAATAATAAAAGAAAAATCAATGGCCTTCTGCATCTGCTGCCAATCATCGTTAAGAGCTTTTCGTGCTAGCACGAAATGCAGCTGCACTTATTTTACACCTTTCATTATTTCAAGTTCTAGCATTGATTATCGTGTATGAGTGCATATGTGTGTGGGAGTGTTATTTGAAAGGATAGGTGCAACAAAAAAGATTCGTTATTAAGATGCTAATTAAATCCAATATCTCGTTCGTTAAGTACCATAGAGATAATTTTTACTTTGAACCTTGAATTAGAAATAAAAGAAGAAAAACATACAACATTAAGTAAAGGATTTGTTTTGTTATTTGTATTTATAGTTCTCCAACAACCAGATTCAACGAGTCCGGCGATATCGGAATTGTCATTTCCTTCGCAACAAGAGAATGGTCACGAATTTAAGGACGAGGAATCGCAAGATTTCAAAGAGGAACATAAAAACGGTGAAACACCGAGTCACGAGGTTGAACATAAAAAAAGAAAAAGACGCAATTTATTTACAAAAGCACAAACGTTCGAATTGGAAAGAAGATTTCGTCAACAGAGATATTTGAGTGCACCGGAAAGGGAACACCTAGCGTCGATAATAAGATTGACACCTACCCAAGTTAAAATTTGGTTTCAAAATCATAGGTACAAGACGAAACGTGCAGCTACTGAAAGAGTAGAAGCTAGTGGAAGTGGTTGTTCGCCTAGAAGAGTAGCAGTTCCGGTTTTGGTAAGGGACGGTAAACCATGCCAATCGAAATTAATGGAACAAACGAATTATCCTGGAAATGGTCAAGTATCTATGGCTCCATATGTGCCAAAAACATTTTGGTGGTAAAATTTTCATCTATACAATATAAATGAGATTTTAATCGTTATTGTTTAAATGGACCCTGAACAGTTCAATCTAATTCTCACGTCAGAGATTAGGATCTAGTCAGGATTTAAATATTATCCAAGAATAATAGAAAAATATGAAAAAAAGGGAAGATGATTCCAAAGAAGGAGAAAAAGATCCTGACTGAAACAATCGATTGACAACAGAATTCGTTTGTTTGTCGTTAATCTCAAGAGAACAAACAAATACTAAACCAAAGAGAATGTTTTGATATAATTAAAATATGTTCGTCTCGTATTTAAGAAAAGGATTCCTAGCGAGCATATATGATCTTTACGTAGAGCGAATGATAAATGAAATTGAAAAATGAGAATAAAGGAAAAAAGAAAAACCAAAAAAAAAAAATAAAAAACAAACAAACATGGATGATGATAATAATAAAATAAATAACCTTGTAAATTTCTATCCTCGTATAGATGAATGTGTAATGACTCTTATTATCTTCGATGTAGGATGTAGTGTGATAAATAATTAAGTACGAATGAAAGTTCAACGTCGATTTGTCGTTCATTTTGTTTGTGTAGAAAAAGAACAATGAATGATAATTGAATTATATATATATATATATATATAGTCACGTGTTAAA